CCTTTACAATGTTGGTCTCACACAGTGTGGTACCCTGCCCAGCAGGTCATCGCAGCCTGGAAAACCCCTCGCCCACTGCTGAACGTTCACTAAAATTGTTGTGGTCAAACTGGAGCGAGCGAGCAAGCGAAAGCAAACAGATCCAGACGGGAACAGGGAGAAGGCAGGCAGCAGAAAAGTCATCTCAGTCTCTCGTTCCGCAAACATTTGCAGTCAACTTTTTTTTCAGATTAGGCACAATGAATGAGGATTTTAGAGGTAGTTATACATTTCATTCTTATTCATTCTTAATTTACATTGATTTTAATTAGAATTACATGCATAATTATCTCTGAGGATCTGAGCCTATGTCCTTGATCTTGCAGTGGATGAGTATAGTTTCAACAGAGCTTTTTCGGTGTGCGTGTGCAGGCGTGCGCTAGTTTTCCTAAAGCTATCAAGCAGAAATATTTTGTCCGTTTTTCAGTTATTACAGCAAACGGAAGGTAATAATATCTACTTGTTTTGTAGATAGTCGGGGGGTGCTAATGCTGTACTCAGGTACTGGAGTGCTGACTTACACAAGTATCATTAGAGACAGTATCACTCCATTCACCCACATTTTTAGGATCATCATTCAGAAAACCTCATATTCAACCCACTATCCACCATATTTATATGATATGCCCAAGGTGACGATTACCCATTGCAGAAAAAACACCTGAAAGAAAATCATCAGATGGGCAACTTCTGTATCAGAGGTTTGTGTTTGTAGCAGCAACTTCTTAGGCTGCCCTGATCCAAGCTGAACTGCTGTATACATAATAATTGTTTTTAATGTGATTGAAAGAAGTAAAGTTAAAACAAAAACTAGTCATCATGGTGCCATTAAACTAGCAAAATATTTGACATCATTATCCAATTACTGGTCAAGGCATTCTTAGAGAGCTACATCAAGTTTATACAGTCAAATGTTGGCCTTTTGCCTTTGCGTTTTCAACACTGATTTCTCTAATAGATACCTCATACAAATTTCACAGTTATCAATTTTTTAAAACAGCTTTAAAGTGCACAGGCTTCTCTAAAGCCATGGAACCAGTGGACAAGTAGTCCAAAAGAAATATAAATACTAAAAGAAATTACCTAGAACTGCCTTAACATGCTAGATATTGACAAAATTTGTACTGAAGACTTTAAGCCATTTGACCCTCACACTTAATACCAGAGGAAGTGGAAAATTCAGTCAATTTTGCAACTAAACTTACTTTAAAAAAAGAAAAATGGTCACAACATAAATAAGTAGCATTTTAAGTACAACACGCTTCCAGTCCAAGGAGCTTTATTTCTTTAGAGAGACAAGAATGAGTATATCTCGTTATAACTTGTTTAACAAACCTCATTCCCAGTTGTGCTTCCAGCAACAGACCCAAGGCCCTGGTGCCGCTCCCTCCGCCTCCCCTGGGCTCAGCTGGGGGCTGGGGAGGGTGCCCTCCGCCGGGGTCACCCCTCCACAGGTGGACCCAGCATGAAGGACAGACTGGAGGACGCCAGCTGCAGGCACAGGGTAGGCTGCGCACAGCATCGCTCCTCAGGCACCACCACGGCACCTGCAGGTCTGCGACGCTCCCTTTGTCAGCAGGAGCTGCCTGCTGGGAACTGGCCTGGGTGGGACCTGGAAATCAAGGACTCTTGGGAAGTAAGCGTTGGAGTACCTGGCTTTTGGAGCCTCGATTCACCAGAGTTTTAAAAGGCTGAGAAGCTCCATTGCCCTCCAGTGACAAGGGCAGCCACAGAGCCACTTCTCCAGCTCGCTTGGGCAACAGCTTGGCTGCATCTCTGATACGCTGAGCTGGTGTGACCTGTGGCTGCGGGGGCTTGTGCCACCTCAGCTGCCACCAGCCCTAATGGCCACAGGGACTGGGAAAGGGGCACCAGGGAATCTCACTGTGGAAAGATGGTTCACGTAAGACAGAGGTCAGGAAGGTGAAATACTTCCTAAGCACACAGATGCTGTTGGGGCCGTGCAGAGCTTCAGCCAGAGCACAGGCTTGCAGGAGGCAGCCAGTCCTGTTCAAAGCAGAGCTTGTCATGGTCTGCTTTAGTGCCTTCAGGCTTGGCAAGCTCATGCCAGTGGCAGCCGGCGCAGGGCACGCTGAAGGCTTGCATACTTTTGCACAAGAAATACATTCAGTGAAGTTGTGGTATTAAAAACTTACCAAATATTAAAAGGAAGTCATGAAAGAATTGTTATGGATCCAGGCATTTTCGAAAGTCCCGTGCAAGCTGTCACCAAAGGCTCCCAAGGCACGCACCAGAAGCCTGTTCTTGCTCCAGAGCAGCAATCAGTTCCTTGCAGTCTTAAAGTATTTTTTCTACCTGGGTTTAAAGCTTTGCATTTCAGCATGCTTTGCTTTAACTAGTGGAAAGTAATCCTCAGCAGCAACAGGCAGGATCAGAGGCCAAGCTGATGGCTCTGGGACACGTGGAATGCATTGCACATCCTATTTAAACCACAGAGGACACCGTGAGGATGGCCAGCGTCTGGGCAAGTTCAACGTACAAGGGCCACCAGCAGGAGTTGGCAAAGGTAGAGACAGAAGCTGCCTCTAAGACTGAAGCTTACAAGGATGCTACAACAGAGGGGATCTGCTGCAAAACTAGTTCTCTGCGGACTCCTCACACCCCACACTTTGCATGGAGGAGGAGGTTTACTTCCAGGAGCCACTTAATAACACTGCCTGAAGTGGCACAGACTCCCAGCCCAGGGAGAACTCCACAGCTCAAGAGCTGCCTCCTCCCGCAATGTCCCCACTGCAGCCAGACCACAGGGGACTCTTCAGCTGTTTTCCTGCTAGAAGCTCAGCCAAATGCAGATGCTTGTCTGCCCAAATGTGCCTGTGAAATTCACACTCATCAAGGCTTAACATAGCTTCTTAGCACCAGTTTTGTAAGCACCACAGGAGTTTGGATCAAACTTGGTGTCAAAAGTGAGTTAAACAGGACAGCGACGGCTGCAGCCAGGTGGACCGCAGGGGTGGGAAGGGCCGGTGCTGGCCTGCTCCCCGCTCGGCATGCGGGGCCATGCTCAGCTCCCAGGCACGCTTGGGCACAACACTTGTGTGTCCACATACCACCCAGCGCTGAGCATCAAGGGAGAGCCACACACGTGTTTGCTCCGAGTCACAGCTCGCTCTTTGGGACAGCTCAGACACCAGGTAACTATCACTCGGACCAGGGAAGTGTCAGGCTGGTTCCTCCTACCCAACCTGATCAGCACGGGGCTCTATTCGGCCTATTAAAAACCTGGGACGCAAAGAACGGGACAACAAAACCCCAAGTATTTTATCTACAGCTGATGAACAAATTTGCATCATGCTGAGAAGTCCGATGACTGGCCCTCCCTTTTCCCCTCGCCCCTCCAGCGTAAGCCCCTTGCTGGCTCCCGCACCGTCTGCGAGAGGAAGGATCTGGCAGCAGCCATCTCACCGCATTTTAATTCCCTAAATGTTCACCTGAAGTACGAGTTGTGAATTCGGACAGCTGGGATTCCTGCTCCTGACTGCAGGCCATCAGCACAGCTGGATACCTGGCAGCTACTGGGTTATGAATTCCTGCTCACAAGCCAACGCTTGCTCGTCTTCCCAGGTCCCACCTGTGGAGACGGGGGATTGTCCCCCAACCTGAACACCAGCCTCCAGAGAGCTCCTGCCAGAGCCGCTCGAACAGCCAGGAGACGGAAACCCTTAGAGAGAGAAAAAACCCAACCCACCTAACACTACGGTTTATTTGGTGATGCAGGAATTACCGTGGGCATAGGAAAATATTGCTCACCTCCCTTCTGTAGTTCCAGGACAGGGCAGTTCCATGGGAAAGTCCTTGCACGCCTGCCAGGGAGTCTGGAAGGTTACTTCATTTCTAGATACAGCCTTTGGGCAGGGTACAGAACAAGGACCTTTGGTTAAAAGCTTGATAAATTTCACTGACTTTTGAGCCTAAAAATAGCGTTATAGCACATAACACACGAAACATCAGATTAGTCTGAAGGATGGCCATCTCGCAGGAGAAATCACAAACCGCACAGAACACTGCCCTGTGTAGCTTATGTTCACGAATGCCCCTGTTCTTCAACCAGGGTGAGTCTGGGTCAGGGCTGGAGCATGCCCGCTCCCAGCTGTGACTCCGCTCCTCTCCTGACAATGTCTTCTCTCAACCCCCTCCCGATTTCCTTTCCCCAGGAAATTAAAAGTACAATTTAAGTGCCTGAACTCTTAGGAAGCACATTTTATTTCATCAGGTTGTAAAATGTGTTTCAGTTGTCCTTCAGCCGCATGCAGCACCCCTCACCACCCACCCACCGAGTGCAAGCACAGTCTGTGCACCCCCGTCGTCCCCCAGCACAGCAGGTCAGCGTCCAAAAGAGCACAGCCACCAGCGCAGGGGCAGGAGCTGATCCCCAGATGCTGATTCCAGGTCCTGCTTTTCAGAAACCGCTGTGCATCAATGCTGAAATCCCCCAGCCCTCAGCAGAGCCCCCAGGGCTGTATTTATACACACACCCACGTTTCTTACTTCACCTGACCAATGTGTTTTTTCTGGAGCCACTCGGCACTTCCATGAAGTCTGATTCTCAGTCTGTGTATGTTTGTGCTCAGTGTAAAATGACAATGGAATTCAGAGTTTAATCTTAAATCCCGTTCCTGCAATTTCCAAACCCATTGTCGAGAGGAAGAAAAAGACCTTTGAGAGGGTGGTTCACCTTCTCCCAATACTTTTTCATCACGTAACCAGTGATTACAGTTATCACAGATGCCTACTTTCTGCTCATTAAAGAACAATTACGCTGACAATTTAAGAACACGTGCACAAGTCTTGTGAAGTGAGGATTATCTACAAAACACTTTCTCGGATTTACAGAAACTGTCTTCGATATGCAATGTTCACTTAAGCCCTAGTTAACTGGGCATTAAGGATTCATCATACCAAAATAAGTGACCGTTTGAAACAAGTTTCAAAAACCTTACCTCTAATTTCTAGTACAGACAACTTCTGCTCTTCCAGTTATTTCCTCAAAAACAACTGAGGCCTGAAGTTACCTCACTATTAGGAAATATTTGCAGAACAGTGGATCTGTACTTTGTACATAGCTTACAACCTATCAGAATGCGCGCGTAGGGGTTTTTCACACATTAAAGCCAAGCACTGTATCTCTAACGCACTAACCCTACCACCCCTGTCACACTTTACCTATGAGATGTTCTATCTCCTGGAAGTTAACCGTTCGGGGTATTCTAAGTGCGAGTAGTGCAATGCTCTTGAACTGGTCCCAGAAGTCAAGGGTGATTTTGAGCAAATATCTGAAAGAACAATAATTTTATCAAATTGACAATAAAATCTCTTTTCAGATAGAATGAAATGATAAAAATTTCATGAATCATCAAAAACTATTTAATTGAAAGTGGTACAAGCAAATAATGTTTTATATAATAGAAGATATCATCATATCCTTTTTCTTTTTACTCATATTCCACTTACATTTGCTGAAAAAATAGATCAAAAATAGACAGCACTAATATATTCACTGAATATGAACAGACAGCTTTCTGAGTTAGAGGTATGACCATTCAAAAACTAACCATTTAAAATGGAAATACAAACAATCTCCAGGTTGGCTCATTTGGCCAATTATCTCACAAATGGAAGAAAAAGTTGTCAAAATACACTGAGCAAGTCCAGGTAAACATTTAAAATTTATTAAACTTTTTGGTCAAAATAATTGAACAAGTATGTACAATCCCATTGTATTAGCTCTATTATGTATTTTAGGAACAAGGTCAAATCTAATGCTTTAGTGACCCAGAAGTTCCACATTTCAAGATTTTCAAATAGTGTCACAACCAATATACAGTATAAGATTCTTTTAATTTAAACTTTATTTGTAGAACCTCAAAGTTAGTTGTACTTACTAGCTTACTGTGAACAAGAGTGGCACTCTATGGACATTAATCAGGAGGATAAGAACGGAGACATTTTGCTCTTGCATACGCAATCTGATTCAGTAATCATAATACACCTTCATTTTAAGAAAAATGGAGTGTAAACCACACTTCTGTATTTCCTCTGGGAAGCTCAAGGGATCTCATTTTTCAGAAAGAATTTCCAACTTGCAGGCACATTTCATAGAGTATAATGTCTAGCTACTCAATGCTACTAAAACGTGCTGCAACAGCTTCAGGTACAGCTTCTCACCCAGGCTAGCCTAGGGTGAAGAGAAGGTTGATACATTTCAGGCCTCTTTGGGGGGGTGGGGGGAGTACCTAAGGCTTAAAAAAAAAAAAAAAAAAAAGGTTAGCAAGAACAGAGTTACAACAAACGCAGTTAACACCAGCTCGTAGCCTCAGTGTTTTCCGACATCTTGGTGTTAAAGTCGGAACGTGCTAAAGTGTAGTAAGCTGCGCTGCTGCTTGGCATAATCAAGACAGGTTTTTTTTTTTTGCTGGCTTGAACTGCAACGTGAAATACAATATATTATGCCAAATATTTAAAATAAACTATATCTTCATGACAAATACTAAAAAGGTTAAAAAACATAATGCACATAAGGTATGTCTCTATCTAACATTAAGAGGCATCAGATAAACTGGATTTTTATCTTCAAAGAAGAAAATTTGTTAAACGTGTTGTTTTCCCTTCTGTGGAAGGTGGTCACTTTCTATTAAGGCTGTGGATGTCTTTAAACTGACCTTTTCAATCTCCTACTCGGTACACAGATAGCTTTTTACAAGAAAACCAGTGCAACTTAAACTAAATGACAATTTCATGGAAACTCTAAATTTAGAATTTGAAATACTACACAAAAAAGTTTGTATTAGTCTGCCAGAAATCAATGTTTTGGGGCAAACATTGTCAAATCTGCCCATCAGAATTATTTTGCACAATCTCAGTACATGCAATAAAAAAAAAATAAAAAGACTGAATACATACCTTCAGATTTAAAAACACTTTTTATAGTTTGTTATTTTATTAAGTGGTTTACACCAGAAGGTGTGGTTATAGATACAGTTGGTGAGTAAATATTCATGGAAACCTGTCTACGAACCCAACTCAAGACCTACCTAAGTGCTCAAAGGTAAAAACACTTAAGCCTAGATACAGGCCAGAGGAGGAATGTTTACAGGCATTAAGCACAATATATGTTTTGAAAGGCCCAAATATTACAGCAGAGAAAGAGCGCGAGAGATAGAAATTACATTTTTATGACAATTTTTTCTTCTTGGGTGTTAAATTTTTGGTCTATAAACTGGAAAGGAAGGCTCAGACTTAAATAAATACATTTGTTTTGAGTATTGGCCTTATTGAGCACTGTCCATCAATTCTGCCTCTAGAGGGTTTCTCCCAGAAAACAGCGACTGACACTCCCTACCCCCACCGAAGGCAGAACTATACCATGAACTCAAAAACCAGGCCAGATCCTCTCCTTTATCTAAAAGGGAAGTAAGTGCATCAATGTTCTTCACTGGTAGGACAACAAGGCCTTCTCTTTTACAGATAAACAACTGAGCTTAACTATGCAAGACGACGACTCTGTCCTCAAGTAAGTCATCTTTAGTTAATTTTGTCCTGGAATATATACAAATTATTGGTGGCAGCTACAGCAATGATGTTCTCCATGGGATGCCATGCCGTATGAAGAATCTTCTTGTTGAAGTCCAGACTGTCAACGCTTATTTCATCCTTCTTTCTTTTACCACCTGTACACACTTTACGTGGCTTTAAGATGGCACGAGGTTTGCTGCTCTCCCTGGATGCTTCTAGAGTGATATCCCGTCGCGTGTTTCGGTCAAACATTCTAAAGAAATTGTTGTAAGATCCAGTCATGATAGCACTGTTTAAAAGCAGAAGAAAGGCAAATCTTATCAGGTTTCCAGAAGTAGTATTCAAGCCCCATCTTCTCTTTCTTACACACAAAGTGACTGTCAGACCAAGTTCATGACCAGTATATGGCATTATGCTCCTTTCCTCTCTGATGTATACCTTTGCTCAATTCTGTTTTTGGACTTCAGCACTGCTTCCATTCCACCACTTTCTCTTCCAGGTCTTCCCCTGGTCCCTCCCCTCCTGCCACCAGCGCTCAGCAGCAGTCTTAGGCTTTATTCATCTTAACATGAGCAAAGTGGGTTTTCCTGTTGCTACTCTATGCCTTTATCCCATGGCAACAAAAGTTACAGTGGAAGCAAAGCCACCGTAAACTGCTTAATTTCAGCAGACTATCACAAATGAAAGTGCCTTCCTTGGCACTGTGCACGTTGACAATGAGCGCGCCGATGGATTAATTATGAAAAATTGTCTTGAATCAGTAAAAGAAACCCCTTATGTGAATGTGCGATACAGACCTGCAGAAACAATTCAGTTTCTGTACAGTATCAAATCTGCTTTTGAACGAGGCAGAAAAAAAATGTGCATCTGAAAATGTCTTCATGTTTCTAACTTCCAATGAACAGCTTGTTTGTAGCTCTCAAAAAAAATATGCTTGAAATTGAGGCCGAGTTGTTTATTATTTTCTTTATCGAACACTTATCTCTACCACTTGAAACTGGAAAAGCCATTTCCCACATGGCAGAAGTCCCACAGATTATCAAAATCGCAACCACCTCACCCTTGTCTTATTTGCTGATACACATTGTCTTCATGGCATTAAAAATTAATGACTAGGAGGAGAATGAGATACTATTACCACAACATATACCACTCAGATTGTACTAGAGAATGCACCGAGTGAAATATTTTTTTCTGTTTCAAAGGGACGTGTGCATCACAACTTCTATGACAACTTATGTTCTTATGTTAAAATGAGATGACCTTGCTTTTTTTTTTTAACCCTGCAAAAAAGATTGACTGGAATTGCTTGGAAAAAACCCATAGAAGTAAGGGTCAGTTTCCTTGCATTTTTGCTTAGTGAAAAAACACACACCACTTATTTTATGCATTTTATGTTAGATACTGTAAATACTGCTAGCAATTTTTTTTGGTAAACTGACTGATACAGTATATTTCTCCCCTCAGTAACTCAAAGCCACTTGCAACCTCGGCCACTTGCAAGCTGGTATTTACAGTAACCAGTTTTCTTTAATATTGTTTACTTAAGAAATTAGTAGGTAAGTGGCATGTAGCAGTACATGCAATCTCAACTATCACTGCAATAGCAATGTAGGTAGGTTTCACTTTCTCTGCTGACTCCTGTGCACAGCTGATGAGATTTGACTTCCCTGATCACCGCCCCCATCTAAACTATGTGGTGGATCTTTTGTTCTTCAATATTTGATAAGATTTAGGCCAAAGCTTGTTTTGCAGGCTGATCCTGTTACCGTCAAATCAAAACTGGTATCTTTTCATCGAACAGCTTGCAAGTGTTTGGTAGCAGACAAGTCACTGTCTTAGGTATTTCAGACATACTCATAAAACTCCTACCAAAAAAAAAAAAAAAAAAAAGAAGAATCCCCGAGGCAAGCCAACACAAAGCATTCAGATATAAGATCCAGATCTGCCACAATCTTATCCATGGGTTCTGAAAGCATTTTAACAGGTAGCTAATATTACCATAGCTAGTGACAGGAAACATATACCATGTGTGCCAGTATAGTGGCTTTGCTATCTGATTATAATGCTTCCACAACTTGCAGGCAAGACACATATTTCCACTGTTTGCAACAAATACGAGTAATTATCTAACGCAGTTTTATCTTCTTTAGCCTACAGAAAACATGGAAAGAAGATTCAGTTTGCAAGACACTGAATACATGTTCTTGTATACACTTCAAGAATGAAACTGAGTCACATTTCCATGGCTTGGAATGGCCAGTCTTGACTGTATAAAACTTCAACAATAATTCATATTAGAAGTAAACTGACACACAAAAGTCTACTCCACTTCTGCAACTGGAGGGTGGAGGACTGAAGAATGAAGTCTTTGTGCAAAAAAAAACCCCAGTTGACTTGAATGTAACTAATTACATCCTTGAAGTTAAGTACTACTTATGGGTTTCAAGACTGGAAACCAAATTCCTAATGCTGAGGGAAAAACAAAAAACCAAACCAAAATGAACCCCCCAACTTACCTATCAGAACCATTCCAGCAGCATTCAAATTTGTCGAAGATGCAGTCATTTTCGTAAAGGGAACAAAGCTTGCTTCGAAGATACTCATGAACCTTTTGGAACATTTGAATTGGTATTAGACATAAAGAAAAAGAAGAAAAGGGAAAGGAAGGGATATTTAAGAAAACTTGAACACCATACTTGATATGTCTCTACAGGCCTGTTTTCCATATTGAGATCCCACACTTTAACAGAAAGGTAGTCTCTTGTCATCATGTATCGACCACTGTGACTGAATTTTACATCAGATATCGATGATATTATTTCTGAAAAAAATGATCTGCTGCTAGGATCTTCAGGTTCTTCAAAAACTGTAGATAGAAGACACAATTACAAATGAAAGCAACACCAAGTTTTACAGCTTCAAATGTTTTTTGGTACTTGGAAAACTTTAAATCAATGTACTAGTTTCTTTTTAAAGAAAGTTGCTGTTAAATACTTTTTAAAAATAATCTCTTTTTTAAATAATGCTATGCTTTCAGTCATCAGATTGCTAGATGCCCATCTCCAACATTCCCAACCGGAGCATAGCATCAGCAAACTACAATTCACAGGTCTTAGAGATGAATCAGAAAAAAGTTAAAAAACAGCACATGGGTACAGTAAACATTACAACTGATCTACAAATCATGTCAAACAAAAGCAGATGAAAACACCAGCATTGCAAACACAGTATCTTAATGCATGACCCATGCATTTTCAGACTACTGCACAATATACTTTTCTTTAGATCTGAACAAAAGTCGTACAACACAACCTACTGAAAGGAAATACTAGTATCTACACTTGAAATGCAATTTGTATGGTTTTAGAAAGCAAATAAAGAAATACATTATTTAAATTGAAGAGTCAATCTTTGAAGTCAACATTTCATGACACAAACTACCCAGAACTATTTATTTCATTTTTTAATAGACCCCTTTTAACAGGATGTTATTCAGTGACAAGCAGTTAAAAAATAAAGTGCTTGTAAGTAATTTAACACAACACTAAGTCAAGTAGATGAAACGGCCTAGCATTCTACATTTCCCATTGCACAAATATTTTCTTCCAACAAGAAAACCTTATCTGTACTATAGAAAGCTTACCTGCAAGTATCAGTACGGTAGGTCACCCCACAGGACTAGTAATACTAATAAACCACAACTATTACAGTAGCGAACAAGAAACAAGCGGCTGCGTGCAAGGCATAGGCAGTTATCCTTATGACTTCAATAGGAAAGCTTTCCTCACCTACATAAGTTTACGTGGCTCAGCAGTCTAAAGAGCATTCACCTTTCACCCCTCGAAACTCGCTACAAACGCAGCACATATTCTTAAGAATTAATTCTATCCTAGGAGCTGCAAATGGTCACAAAGTAAATGGATTCTGGCAGCATCAGCCCAGTTTCTAATGCACAAAGGTGAATAAACTGCCCTGAACTGGCATTTGATAAGCAGATACCTTTGAGAAGCACCAAGACTGAGTCTGGACAGAAGACAGGTCTCACTGGTGCCAAAAGCACTTGTTCCCATCAGTTTATGATGCATAAATGGGTAAACAGGAGCAGAGTCAGATCGTCAATTGTCTCATGCTACACTTCTGCTTGTTGATGGCCTAGAACAAGACAATTAAAATGTTCCATTCTACAAAACTACCACCCCTTACCTTGTATGCTCTTTACCAATAAGCAGAACTTGGTATGTTTATTTATAAGCAGAACACCTATACACTCTATCTTGCATGAAAACAAAGCAAGAAACCCATAAACCAAAGACACATCCTAACTTACATTTTGAATGCCTATCACAGAGGGCTGAAGAACGCATGTCACAGAGTCGAATAGTTCCTTTGCTACTACTGTAGACAAACACGTTACAGTGATGAGGGTGGAACTCTGCAGCAGTAATCACTTCTGTCAGCTCCTCCATGTTAGCAGGCTTAATATCTACAATATCTGGGAAGGTTTTTGTAAAGACATGTAACATTTCACATTCAAATCGCTTCTAGCAGATAATTATTAAAAAAATGTTAAAGATACAATGTAGAAAACCGGGGCAAGATCTTAATTTCCACCTTGTGCAATCTCCACAAAGTAAAGTGACCTGAGTAGATTTAAAAATAAATAAATCTGGATTTTACAAATCAACTTTAACAGATGCTAATTTCAGACTCCTCTCAAGCCTCCTTCTTAATGCTTCCTATTGAACACTCAATATACTTCATCTATTTACCTAAAGCTTTAGAAAACTTGCATATGACCTATTTAATATTTAGTATTTCTGCAACTTTTATTATACTGCAAATTTGTCAATGTAGGACATACTATTAGTTTTGGATACACAGGCTTGCAAAAAGATTTGAAAATTATTTCTGCAGTTAATGATATCATTTGACATGGAAAAAAATTAAAATTTGTTTTAAGAGGAGTGTCACTTAGTTAAGAGAATTTAAACTTTGGAAAGAAATATCTACAGTAACAAAGGATCTACTTTTCAAGTCTAATGCTCAAGCAATTGACTGAACTCCACAAATAAAGGACGCTCCCAAAATTCCTCAATTTCTCTTTAGAAATCAAACTATGATACTTCTACTGGCAGTTTTCCACTGAAAGAATGCTTGCACTCAAGAATAAATGAGAGCATCCTAAGGCCTGCTTTCACTGTATCAAACCTCCAGATTTTAAAATCCTGCATTCTAATTCCCAGATTCAAACACCTACTCTAATTAGTAAAATTAAAGTGATTCTCTTAAATATACAAAACTTAGATGTGCTCCAGTGTTCACAGAGAACAAAAAAAAGGATACTAAAACTTCTATCCGTGATTTCTAAATGCCATAGGTTAATTCTTAGGTCATCTGCAGAAAGGTATGTTTCATGATCACTATTTACTGAAATAGAGTTTATGTGGTAAGTATGTGCGTTTGCAAATATCCTTCTGGGACTTGCTTCTACCATTAGGTCCATGGGTTTCAATATTGGCACCTGAAACATGAAGAACAACAGTCAATTTTGGCATAAAACTGATTTCTGATTCAGAAGACATTAATTAGTTGCACACCACAGATTTCCGTTTTGATTTAGTGACTAAACACTTTTCAAATCCACTGAGCAAGAAAAGTAATAAAATAGCCTATGAATGCTGACTTTGCATACTACCAACACAAAACCTCAGCCACTGACTTCTGCAGAAGTTACCTATCAAACACAGCAGCTTTGTACCTCTTCCAACAGGAAAATGGTGTATGTTTAGAATATTAGAAAATTATGTTAATTTGAAACAAACGCTTAAAAATGCCCCCCATATCTTAGTGGGGTACTTGTGAAATTGGTAAGAACAGTTTGCAAAGAAAAATCCCCAATTTGTTCACTGAACAGTCAGTACTATTTTAGGAACACATGGATGCCCTATTTCCACAACTAGCTGATCTAAAGGGTTTGTCAGGGTCAAGTGGATTAAGCTTCCCTCTAGCTCCTTCTCACTGACGAGCAAGTGAAAAGTTTAAGGTTGCCCAAGGATGTCCTACGCTGTTCCAGTACATACAATTCAACAGAACACTAACTTATATCATCCAACCAAGAAAAAAGTTATGACAGTGTCCAAGATAATCTGTCTTCCTGGAACAAGAAACACACTAATCCAAGAGCTCTGCAACTGCTTTCACCATGTTTGTAACTCACAGTCCATTTACATCAAACTGTAATGATTAAAATTAATCCATTACTTTTTATTAGGCAACTTTCCTATCTCACCACATGAGTGTTCCTAGCCTGGTTGTGAAATTGAAAATGCATTAAATGTGAATTATCAGGAATGGTACTTAGAAATGCCATGGTCTCTATGCAAAGGATGCAGCTCTGAAGTGCTGCATCTCCTCCATGTCTACTTCTTTATAAACAAAAGGGGATTATATTTCTGTAACAAAATATACAAACAAAGCCCATAAAAGCCCAAGGTACATATACTCTAGATCTCCAAAACCTGATCATTTTAATATATGGAGGTAACTCTAGGCAAGGTTTTTCCCCCTTCTGCCAATTGTTGCTCAGACTTCATTCATTCCATCATCTCTCCTTCTAAGATGTAGTGCCTGACAAGGTCTGCAGCTCAGCCCAACCTTCCTTCCACAAACAAGCAGCAAATTTAGAAGACTAACTTTTAAGAGAGAGGTTCTTGCTTTTTGTTGCTTCCCCCCATTCAGCTTGATGATTCCTAAATATATTACAGTGTTTAAAGTAGATGCTAATGTACTCCTTCAGTGATATAGCCAGTACCATGTAAAACCATTAGGCCATATTCTGGACTCTACATGTTCCCAGATGGGTAGTCTACTCCTACATAAGGACAAGGCTGTAGAACCCAAAATTTCATCTGTACCTACTTCCAGCCACTGGGCTAAGGCATTGTATCATAATTTATTTCCTTGTTTTGAGATATTTTCATTAGAATACTCAATCAGATCTTGGCTCCCACACGCTGACTAGAAAGACACTTTCCAGAGGAAGCGGATATCCTTTCCCAACATGATTATGCATTAGCTTCACGTATACCTAAAGCTTCAAGTTCAATATTCAATTTAAGCAAAAGCAAGGCAAAAAACCCCAACAAAAACTCACAACTGTATAGTCCCTACAAGTGTCAGGAGTGGCATTGGCTTTGAAAGTAGCGAGAGCCTCAGTTCAACTCCTATTTATGGTAACAACAACAACAACAACAACATAAAAGACCTACAAGAACCACCCCAACCCCACAGGATTTCATTTCCTGAGCTCCTGCTTTAAAAGACCCCAAGTTTGGAGCACTAGCCCTACCACTACATCACTATGCAAGTGGAAAAATGTTAAGACTATTCAAGTATACATTAGGTTTTCCAAATGCTCAGAACGTGCCTCTAACAAAAACATCTGCTACCTAACCACAGAATACCCAGCACCATGATTAAATTTGTGAGTCTTGTTCTTAGAAAAAAGACCGAACAAGTTCAATATGAGCAATATTGGGGGGGGGGAATTATCAATACAATCAAAGCCAAATTCTTCCTAAATTCACAATGGCACCTGCTTTAAGCCAAACAGAATGACCCTATCTGCCCATTTCACAGAGCAGCACTCCGGGAAGATACAAAGGTTAACCTGGGCATCTAGTACTCCTTACTAGTGACCGGCACGGACACTACAGCACTATCCTCTACTGACTGGTTGTGGCCAAGAAGAGAAGTCAGTATGTTACAGGCCTCTGAAATAAATGTTTTCCCTGCACTTTTCTTCATGTTGCACTAAGACATTAGACTACTTTAAGAACACAGCAGGGTGAGTCCATGCTTTCTATGAACTGAGCACAGAGTAGTGCAGCCCCAGACAGATACTCCAAAATGCTGTTTTTTCAGGCTTGAATAACAACATTTTGTTATATTTTATTCTTGTCAATAAACCGGTATATCTTTTTTTACAATTTTAACATACTGAGGTGGATGAAGGCTGTCTCTAACAAAATATTTTAATTTTAAAAAACAGTTTAAATTTAAAATCCATTTAAAATATGCTAAGATGTTCCAAGAAAAAAAAAAAATCAAACAAACTATTGGGAAGCTAGTAATATAATATTATAATCGTGAAATTTTGCCTGAAGTTTTCCAGAGGAATCTTATTTAATAGTTACATATGTATAAAGAAGTGTCTCCATTTTTATAAAAGTTTTCAGTGACGCTGACCATAGCGTCATTTTTAATCTACACATTTCAGTTGACAACTCTGGTGATACAAAGGTAGAGAAGTACATGCAAAAACATATTTAAAGTCAAAGAGCAGAAACATACCCGTAGTGCTGTGATTCTGAAAGGATCCCTAAGTCTTCCATCTTCATCTTTTAAATTATAACCTTCGGCTCTTTTATCCCTTTCACTTATTTTCCATAATTTAATAGTTTTATCTAAAACCAACAAAAATTCACATGCTTGAGAATGAATTAGATTCAAAATAAAACCACTAAATAATGGAGTCAGCAGAGTGGATATTATTCATCTCTCTAGGTTTCCACTGCTTGCAACAGAAAGGACCCTGCTGGAGTCCTTTAAACAACAATGTAATATGGAGCACAGCCCTCCCTACATATACTTGAAGTACTTTGCCTTCAGCTATATTGTTTAGCAGAATTGACACATGAAAAACAAACAAAAAATATACCAGACACATGCACTTGCAGGATGCGGATGGGAAATGCATGAAGATATCAGGAAATGGAGAGGAAAAAAAGATGGATTCCATTTTAAGTCCAATGTAATGTTCAGTTTGAATAAAATACAAGTTTCTGCCTGAACAGTAAGGCCTCATGCCTAGCACTCACCAAAATGACACTTCACAAGGGAAGTTTCACACACCAGTTACTGAAATTCACCAATAAGCTCTGTATGACTATCTAAACTATTTTTAAACAGATAAATGCTAGCGAAAAAACCCAAACCCATGAATTACTTACACTAACTACCTTAAGGAAAATCAAGTTTGTCCCAGGTGTCTGCTAAGAGACAACCAAAGGCAGTAAGTGAGAACAGGACCCATTCATTATTTTAGGGTTCCATGTCCAAAGGCATGTACTCCCCAGGTCTTACTAGGGTAAGTCTTTCCAAGCGCAGAAAGTAAGTACACACCAAGAGTGAGAACCTTTGCTAATTGGAAACAAACCTCTCCTCCCCAAAATACTGCATATCTTTAAAGCATTTAAGATGACACAGTTTAAAGACTGCTTTAAGTTTAGTAAGACTTATATCAAAGTAAGATTATTTGAATTTCAAAGTCCAGTAGACAGAAGCCATTCCCACTTTTAAAATTTTATATAGCAGGTAGGATAACAGCCCTTACATAAAGTCATTTAAGTACAAGGCAAAAAGTGAATGATCCAAACTGTTAGGAACAAGCATATTCCTCTGACAGTAAGAGCAAGTTTTTCCATGCACAGTTCTGCATTTACATTTACAGCTTGCTCCATGCTGCATCAAAATGAAACAGACCTAATACTCACACAGACCTAATACCTAATAACCACTACTAAAATACTGGAAGAAATAAAAAAACCAAAGTGCATGAAAACCTGTAATTTCCAACTTGTAATTTTTGCACTGCTTTTACGTATTCTAAGGTACACAGTGAACATGGTATAAATACACTCCTCCTAGAGTGACTGTTGTCTTTTACACAGCTGCTTTTCAAAGCACATATGATGTTTTGGTATTGGAAAAGCAAAAAGAGCATTATAACCACAGTGTTTCAATTTCAAATGCTTTTATTAAAAATTCATTTGGGATCACAAAAAAAAAATCCATTTCAAAAGTAGGGTGATCAAGTCAAATTCAGACGACTTCTACAGTTCAGCATACTGGGAACCTGTTTATACAAAAACTATACAGCAGAGTAACAGGGTATGTAAATTGATAGCATGGTCAGTATATCTGCAGAACGCAGCTCTAACTATGCCTATTCTGTTGCTGCTTCATTATTTTTACATTCATAAATCAGTAATTTACAGAGTATTACAATCAAAACATATTTTGCACATAATTAGAGAAGACATTAAAATAAACCCAAAACACTCCAGAAGAAACCCCACAATGGATCACAGGTGAGATAATAGTCAAATAACATAAAAAGTTCATTGTGTAAATATAAAGTGTCCTTACCATTTGTAGACAGCAGGAAATGAGCAGCATTCTGTTGTGGTAACCACCTAATTTTATTAATTTTTTCCTCAATTTCTAGACTTTTCAAGTAGTCAAACTCAGGTTCATGACTCTGAAAGGTACTGTAAACATTATATTCTCCCCTAGAATGAGGACGGCTTTTATTCTGCAAGGAAACATAATATTTCTTGAAGCTGATGTTACTTGTTTCATTAGAAATTGTACATACAAACTAATGACTATAAACTGTCAATTAGAAAGTAAACTTTTTACAACAGATCTTGATGAATTTTATATTTTTACGATACTGTATCTAGTTTAGCATCAAGATAGTGCACACAGACTTCCTTTTTAAAAATGTATCATTACATATAAATATGCGTGTACTCATAGAACATAACATATCAAAGCACTTTAAAGAGGCATGCTGCCCGCAAAGGAGTTCCTGCATTTGCCTGCAAGAGTTCTAAGCTACGCTACCTCTCCCAAGCGGTTTCAACAGAATTGGAGCAGAGAAGTTAGCTACATCCTAAGTCCTAAACCACCAACTCCATGGGATTAGTTTCTGCGCTTCACCTAATCTCCATTCCCCTCCTTTTCCAAAACTCATTCCTCTAATCACCACAATATGGTCATAATGCAGGGTGTCCAGACTAGGAAATAAATGTTGAAAGACATAGGACATGGAGTAATTAAATATTTTTTTTATAAAAACACGATTGCACAAAGTCATTCTGCTGAAGGGACAGCAAGATCAAGTATGAGCATTAGCTCTATCTCCTCCCCTACTCATTTTAAAACATGCTGTGTCCAGAAGAGGTATCAAGGCTTATAATTAAGCTTTGACAATCTTTTTTATTATTAAAACTCGAAGGCTGGAATTACCACATTTCAATTTAAGCCACTCTATAGTGCTCATCATGATGTACCAAAGACTATTACAAATACACTAACAACTTTTCCCCTCACACAATTAGAAGACCCCTTTGTATTATCGTCATCTGGTAGATGTGGTAGCAAGGAACAGAGATCAAAGTCACAAGTATCCACAGATCTGCACTATCAGATTTGAGGCAACTAGTTATCAGGCTTTTCAAATAAGTTAATATTAGATAGTGACTCATGTCTGGAGAGCAGCCCCACTTGTAGAGCTGCAGTGCCCAGAACCTCTGAAAAAACAAACTCCCCGAAACGCAATTGGAAATCACTCACTTGAGAAGCAGCAAATCACCTACCTGCAAAGGCAAGATAGGAAAAGCCTATCCTGCTCATTGATTGATGGTATGTTACCATGGAACAACCAGTAGTGACTCACATCACTGAAGACTGCTAGGCCAACTATAAGGCTGCAAAGGCAACCTTTGTTCTGACACTTCCTTACGTTTCCACGCTTGACTTCGCAACTTTGATAAGGTTATTTCAAGCTAGGTTTTTTTTCCCTGCAATCTCTCACAAGTATGTCATTTTAGTTAATTCCGAGACTACATTATTTTACTCCCTTCTTGTCATTTAAGTTTTAAGCATTTTGGACTCTCAACTAACACTCTTCAGTATAGTTATCTACATTACTTACCTAGCCACCCGCATTTTGAGCGAGCTGCCTTGCCTGGCACGAGGCAGCGTTCTCGCTCTTTACTCACACATTTGGCTGGAATAATCAGCTGCTTGGAACTGCAATAATGTCATATGCGTTCAGGGCATGATGCACAACATTTCAGCCTGCCTTCCCGAATTAAAGTGTATGGGAAATTTTATAACTATCCTAAGTTGTTATTAATCTAGTTAACCTAGTCTAAAATCCACACTGTTTAGAAATATTGGTTGTAAGATTTTATTAAGGTTCCAGTATATAAATCTACTTATTTTAGGTTTTTCCCTCCACTCCAGAAATTCTGCAGTTTTGCACATGACAAGAGAAGTGACCCTTATGCCCAACTCTTCCCTACAGTTTGCATGTGCTCCCAAGAAGACAGTTGAATATTCCTGTGTGAATAGTCTAACTTCCCACCCCCCCACTATGAGGAAATGATGTGACAGCTGGGTTTTGACTTACAGAACAACTGAGCACTAACAGCTGAAAGCCAACCAATAATAGTTCCACTCTAAAGAAGCACCAAGAAAGTCAGAGATCCTGAGCAGGTGGACACTTTTGACCTTGATCTCTCTGTGCCTTAGTTAAGTCTATACAGCAGACTAAATGATAAATGAGCAATGAGCTGTCTAGGTGTAGTAGTATAATATTTCAGCAGCTTTTTCAGCAATAGTATTTTCATTTCACTACCTCTCAAAATCCTCACAGTAAAATCGATAGGTCACCTTTGGTAAAATGTTTTACAAATAGTATCACAGTGAGGATGAAATGCAAAATATTGGACGGCTGTTCATTAACTGAGCATCCATTGAACTACACAATGAAAGAAGTGAGATTCTGCTGAAAAAAAACACAGCACCTAAAGATTAGTATACTCCATGCACAAACAAGCTGAATTAAAATTCCACGAACAATTTTGGTATTTCTGAGCCAGGAGAACGCTCAAATTCTCATCAACTCTTCAAAGGAAAGGATGAACATGCTCTTTGGTGGTGGGGGAGAGGGTGAGAATTGCCATGTGGAATATTGACTTTTTAAAGAACACAATTTCAGATTTCTCCCAGACATGACAAGGCGTGACAATTATTTTTCAGCATTTAGTGCACTTTTCCAATACACCCTATTTCTCTGGGTATAAAAACCTCGGTGATGTATCTGCATCAATGAATGGACAGAACACATTATAGCATTATCACACAAGTGAATACCATTGCAAAGAGCCAGCTGAAAAGCTGTGTAACTGTAGGAGGGTCTTCCTACCTTCTGAACTGAAAATGCTCAAGTGTTTCTGGAGAAATAGCTGTTCCCACTGTTTTTGATTCATAGGATCCTAAAACACGAGATGCTTAATTCTTCCATTTTTGAACCCTCTTATCCTGTTGTCCTTGCAGCTTAACATGTATCCTTTTTTATAAACTTTTCTTACCTTATCTTCAAAAGCGTTATGATTTGCCTTAGATCAACCTGACCAAGTGTAAAGTTTACGAGAAAGTCCAAAGGCAATCCTCTGCAAAATGATACTGAGCATACTAGGTACATATATAAAGACCTCGTGTTTTTTGGACTTTTTTTTTTTTTGAAGGTGGGGAGGGGAACCACCACCAAACTAACCTACCAAGTTCAGCACAAGGCAGATATTTAGAAATCTGGCTAATTTAGAGTTTTCTGAGAAAACTATCTCAGATAAACCTCATGGCATGAAGAGATGAAGTGAGACTGCAACACAAGAACAGTGTAGTAACAGCACTTTTGTTTTTCAAGTCACTGACCTCTTGTTCCCTTTGAAATATAACCACTCTGCCACCTTTGTCTCCTGTTGCAAGAAGATCACCAGAGTAATTAAATTCAACTGTTGAAATAATATCAGCTGTAAACAGAACAGAAATAAAATAGCACTGTAATGTGTAAAGCAAATCAAGATGTTTCAAGACTTGAACACAAAACAAAATTACAACTTGTATTAATGCAACAGAACAACTTGATTTACATCATCAGTATCCAGAAATTGTCATGTTTCAAAGCCTAACAAAATTTTGTGTACAATCTAAAACATTTCATTTCTCAGTTTTTTAAGCTTTCAAGGGCCTTCAATCCTAAAAGAGAAGGCATACCATTTTAAGAATCCAAACTGTGTATTCTACCTGTTGACAGTAAATGCTGAAATACATAACGGAGATATGCCTGCACAGAGCTTCCAAAAGTAAGAATTGTAGCAAAAGTGGTTCATCTGTGGTATTGCTTTGGAGCAGCACTGCTGCTTGCACTGATCAAAGTGAGGTTGAGGCATACCCACCTTTCCCCTGAGCTGAGTATTCACGTAGTTAGTTCAGGAACCTGAACTGGGCATCCCCCCTCTGCCAAAGGGGAGGCGGGGGAGAAAGAAAAAATTCTTCCAGTTGAGCTTCCTGAACCAACTCTGTGCAGATGCATCAGCATGTATATAACAAACAAGAGGCAAGGACGCTTGCAGCTGAAGGAACAGGAGAGCAAAGGAAAAGATTGCAGCACCTCCAGTTTAAACTGTCTTAAGTGCCCTTGGGACTGAACCTTGAAAACAACCAGTATTTATTCACCACTGCACGCCACAATTAATCTTTGGAGGTGGCAATGAAGAAATAACTGCCATTAAACAATCTCTAACCAAGGGGCAAAGAGATAAGGGGCTATAAATGTCTGTCACAGGTTTTAGGCATATGGTAACAAAACCAACAAACCACTCGGCATAAAATTGTAAGTAAACATTTACCCATACTGTTGCTTGCTAGCCATGCAAATATTTCATTATATTATGCAGGTATAAAAATTGTAAGATTTGAAGTATATGATATCAATTAGTTTCAGAGTTTGCAATTAGACACTAGATGAAAACTACTTTCCTGTATTGATTTTGATGTGCTATCTTTTAAGTTTCTTTCAATAATCCCCCACTCTTATGAGGAAGGTGATTAGGAAGTCTAATCAGTTTTCCCAATATATAATTCATATTTCATCTTTTATTAACAGATGCCCTTTTTGCTAGTGTATAAAGAGCATGATTTACCTTCTTTAATTAAAAAAATTAGTATTAAAAAAACCTAAATCTTTCTACAGATTTATCCCAGGCTTCAAAATCACATTACTAACCTGCTTCTGGACATGTCTATTTTTATATTCACCTTTCTTTAAAAGGTTATGAAAAGATTCAATTTTGATAAAGAAGAGGATGATGGCTAATCCCAAATCCTCAACAGACCCAAAACATTAGAACAAACCCCACACCCTTGCTGCACATACTCCATACTGAAAACACCAATCTTTCCCTCAGCTGACCTACTTTTAAAAAAATTAACCATATTGTTAGTTTCTAACTAGTCTCTCTAGCTCATCTCCCTCTCCATTCACAGTGATCCTCACCTGCCATCATGCCACCCAACTACAGCGACCACCACCTCACAAGTTCTCAAGTCATTAATCACAGAGCTCTTTGCACACCTGACCCTTTATTGTTGACCCCTTTCCAAGTAATTAAGCAGCAAACTCTTTTGGCTTTTCACTATGAACACTGTCAGAATAAAAATTAATCCCCCTATTCTCTTTACACCAATTCCGCTTTTTGTAGCCAATTTCTGGTATGTGGCCATTTGCCTCCGTAACGGACTATGTAAAAAGTATTGAAAACACCCCCCCCCCAACAATCCTTCCCCTCTCCAAATTGCTGAAATTTACAGCAGTAAGTAGTTACCTACAGAAAATAGCATATGGTATAAAGGTTTCACTAGTACTAAATGATCTCTTACTTTAGAAATTGCCTTAGAATTATGAGCTTCTAGTAGCACAACACTGATAAAATGTTCATATATACATACACATACATCCTTAAATATATGTATTTTAACATTTTTATACACACATATATGTAAATAAAAAACTTAAGACTAGAGTGATACAATGTATGTTCAATCCAGAACTATAAATAGAAAAGCTATATATTTCCACTTACCATAACAATCTACTTTGTCAAAACTCTATCTACACACTGAGCACAGCAATAACATTTCACTGAACCTCAGTGTTAAAACAAGAAGCAAAATGGCTAAGTTTAAACAATGACACAAGATCTCTCAACTTGCATGTGAATGGGACCTCTGTTCCTCTCTTTGCAAGGTTAAGGAAAACTCAGATTATTGATACACTAAAACCAGATTATCAATATTAATACCTGTCCTTCCTATACTGTAAATAGATAGGACTCGAGATAATGGACAAATGGTTTAGATGGTTATAAAGAGACCAGTTTCTAGCTCACTGATTTCCCAGTGAATTGTTCACACTTTTTATCCCAAGCAAGTTAAAAGAATGTACAGGGTACTTTGTATGCAATTTTAACCATTTCTTAAATATACTGTCCATGACAGAGAAGAAAAAATTTGTCAACCTGTAATGCTGATAACCTGTAATGCTGATACACTATTTCACTTTTCCAAAGCTTGTCACGTTTCTCTGATGTAACGTCTCATACCCTGCTTAGGTCCTCAGACGGGCAAAGAACTATTATATACACAGAAAGTGTATGAGCTGGTCCATGTAAAGCTTTTTGTTAATTTGGAACTTCTTTCTTTCTTAAGAAAGAAAACAAACTTCAATGAGGCCCTTTCATAACAATCTGTATAACATATGTATATTGTAATCGTGAAAATGTTTTAAAGCCAACTCATTCTTCCTGCCTGACAATCATGGGGAAAACAAGATATATGAGAATTGAGATTCAATGTCAAAAAAAGAAATCTCTGCATGTGGCTAATATTGCTGTTGGGCTTTAATACTGATCCATGCTAATTATTTCCACAATTAGATGTTTGCTTTGTGCCCAATACATGCCTAAATTGTGTGAAAATATAAATTATAAGCCATTACAAATGGCTGGCTGGCTAAGAGGTTTTATAGTTACAAATACCAAATATTATGACATAAGCAAAGAATTTTGTACTAAAATGAGAAAGCTAGTGAACTAGCTGGAGATGTAATCTTAATTAAATTCTACTCCAAGACTGACAATAGTGCTAGAATAAAAAAATTCCTACATCCCATTATCACTCAATTACACACAGGAGAAAAACTCAGGCATTTCAAGAAATACCAAACCCCACTTTTCCACTTAGTTTCAGAAAGGGAAAAAGATATTATTAGTTTCTCCGATGTACACTATCAAAGTATTTATTAGTTGCTCAAAAGACATTGTGCACCATTTTCGCTTTAACATGCATGTAAAGACAACATCATTTGTCTGACATGGCTATTATTCACTAGCAGTGTTATCTAGCCAAACAATCTTGGGTTCCTTTATGTTAAGAACTGTGGAAACATGCTAAAACACAGACACTACCCAAATTCTATGGTTTTACACAAAAGTACAGGGAGAAGAGGGTAAACAACATGCATAGGTAAAGTGATCATGTCAGCGGAGAATGCCTCTCTTTCCCAATTGACTACCAACTGGAAAAAGCAGCTTGAAACTTTAAATCAGCACTGAAATAGTATGTCGCCAACATGCCAACATCTATTGCCAACATGCTATATGGAAATAGGTAAGTGGAAGGGTGTTGTGGTTTAACCCGGCAGGCAGCTAAACACCACACAGCCATTTGCTCGCTCCCCCACCCCCAGTGGGATGGGGGAGAGAATTGGAAAAAAAAGTAAAATATGTGGGTTGAGATAAAGACAGTTTAATAGGACAGAAAAGGAAGGGAAAATAAT